CCAGACAGAGCCATCTGGGCCCACAAGACAGACCTCACTTAATTCCTCTCAAATTAGGGTCCCCAAAAGGCAAAGTCCCCACTTGCCCGAGGATCTCTTTGGTGAGCCCATACCCAGTGTACCAGACACATCTCTGGACAAGCCCAGGTCTGTGTATCTCCTACAACACCGGGGGCCTGGGTTCAGATCCCAGTGTGGGCAATCACTAGCTCGATGACTCCCTCCCTGTGAGCTATCCCACTTCTACAGGCCTCTCATCCCTCACTTGTGAAACAGTGCCTGCCCTGTAGAGGTGCAGAGAGGAGTTGTGCACGAGGTGGCATACAAAGCACCCCTGGCACGCGCTGCATGCTCTGCAGCGACCTCATGGAATCTGGCTCGCACAGTCTCCTCGGCCAGGCTGTGGGCCGGGACCATGCTCCTCTTCCTCCTTTCTGCCCTCAGTTCTTGTGCCAGCTACGCTACCCACTGCAGTCAACAGACTCTGTGAGAGACGAAACAAATTCTATTTTTTTAGGTTAGAATTCTGGATTTCCCTTGAGTCTCGAGCAGCTAACTTACTCAGAGGGAAAATGTTTCCCCTCAGACCTGTCAGAGACCAAGCATGATTCTTAGAACTTCCTCTTTCCTTGAAAAATCTCTGGGGTTTCCTTCACACCACCTCCCTCCCTCCCCTAAAACAGAAGCAGGGTGGTTAGAGACAGAAGGAAAAATGTGTGTTTCCTGCCTCAGGCCAGCTGCAGATAATTCATCTCTGGCTCCCGGAAACCTCGTCTCTGAACATTTACTTCTGTAGAGAAAACAAATCTTCTCAGGGAGTCGTGGGCACGGAATGAATGAAGGCAGACAGCTCTGTCCTTAGCTGCTATTTCCACCAGATTCCCACCTTAGGTATCACATTTCCTGAGATCTAAGGAGGTGCCCATCCTCTGCACATCCCGATTCTATCAGCACCCCACTTAAAAGGTCACCCCACTTAACACCACCTACTCAGTTCCCTCTCTCACTCCCAAGAGCGAGAACCATCTACCTCCATGGTGGCCCCAGAGCACAGAGCAGGAATGAATTCTGACAGCAGAGTGCAACACACACACTCACTCTACAAATGAGTAACAGAAACAGCGACTTCTCCTTCTGCACACCCCAATCCAAAAGTGAAAGCCCACTTAAGAATCGACTCACATAAGTTTTTACAGTGGACATAAATCATTGGCCATCCTGGCCTGCTTGTATTGGCTCCTATTTACACACAGCCCCACTTCCCAGGTTCAACCTTACTCCACAGCCAGAAATAGGGCCGGGGCTTACTGGCTGGATAACCCCGGGAAGATGATTCAGGCTTTGACACCGGACTTAGATGATCCATCAAAAAGTTTATTAGCAGTTGGCTTGGGTAAAATGGAGAACTGAAAGAGTCATTTCCTCTTGTTCTTATCTCCACAGAAAGAGAAACAATTGGCTTCCCTGGCAAGAGCTCAGCCCTGCCCAGACTTCAATGCCATGAGTCCCTTTGACTTCCCAGTTCAGAGTGAACTTGGGAAATCTCTAAGCAGCGCTGTTCACAGGCCACGTTATCGCGTTGCTCTGTGTGGTCACTGAATCCTGGGTTGCTTTATTATCCCTAAATATTCTCAATAATGGCTAACATTGATTAAACATTCCACACTGAATCTTCTACTTATAGACACATTAGCATTATCCAATCCTCCCAACTATTATGTTGGTAGTATTATTATCAGTCTTTATAAAATAAGAAATAGATTTTAAAAATTCAAGCAATTTCCCCCTGGTCATGTGTTTAAACCAATCTTGATGTCCAGGCTCCGAATCCAGAAGCTGCTTCCTTAACATTCTACAGAACCTAACATAGATCTTTGATAAATAGTAGGACACTCACAATTAACTGAGAAGTGAACTTGCAACAAGGTAGCCTTCTCTCCTTCCACATCTTTTTCCACCCTCTACCCTCCTGCCTCAGTCCTGTCAAGCATATGGACCATTCGGCAAGCAAACCTTCCACGAGGGAAAAGAGAAGGGAGCGTGTGTTAGATGTGGCAGAGCCCAGCACTGCAGATCCTGACAGAGGGACAGCTGTGTTTATATCCACAGAGGCATCTGCAGATGTGGGAGCACATTTGGCCCAGCTTGTTTTATTTTTTTTTAATTTTTATTTTTCTTCTTTTCTCATTCACCACATCAGTCACAACGCCAGCTTGTTTTAAGCAACCTGAGACATCCGGGTCGCCTATATGCCAGAGACTTGCTTCATGTCCCCAGCTGTGCTCTGGGTCTCTGCACTGAAGTGAAAGCCTGCCTCCACTCCAGCCTTCTGTCAGAGAAGGCCAGAGTATGTAACCACACAAATAATGGTGGCATGAGCTCTGGGCTTTTGAATGCTTCAGTATGCATCTGAGCAGAGGGCTTCAAACCCTGAGCATCAGAGGTTCCCACCACTCAAAGCAGAGGGCACATCCTTTGGTGTCCCAACCCTGGAAAGGAGGGTGAAGCAGGACTGTGCCTCGGGCCGGGGGCATGAAGAGTGAAGGCACCATGAGAGATGGGTTCATAGAGGCCTCGGGAAAGGGACAATAGCAGAAAGGTCAGGAGTGGTCAGCTCACCCATTTTCCCGTGTCAACTTTCTCCTGCCAACACTACAATGCAGGCAAAGAGCTAGGGCACTGCCATGAACTGAACTGTGCCCCCTCCATTCCTACATGGCAGCCTAACTCCCAAGGTGATGGTATTTGGAGGTGGGAGCTTTGAGAACTAACTAGGGTTAGGTAAGGTCACAAGGCTGGGTCCTCAAAACAGATGAGTATGCTCCTAAGAGACACCGCAGAGCTCACTCTCTCCCCCTGGTGTGCACAAAGAGGAAGTCAGTGAGCGCACAAGGAGAAGGTGGTCACCACAAGGCAAAAAATGAGCCCTTAAAAGGAACCAAATTGGCCTGCACTGTGATGTTGGAACTTTTAGCCTCCAGAACACTGAAAAACAACATTCTGCTGTTTAAGTCACCCAGTCTACGGCATTTGTTATGGAGCAGAATAACACAGGAGATTAAATCAGACAGGAGTTCAAATCCTGACTCCACCTTCATAGCCACATGGCCTTGGACAGGTGAAAAGAGGTGCTGTTTCTCCTTACTTGTCACTTGCTTACGACAAAGGGTTTTGAAGGGACTGGATGTGCTGGTGTTCCAGAGGTGCCTGAGCTGTGTGGCGTGTTCCAGAGGTACACTGCCTCCAGCAATGCTTCCCCATTCACGCTACAGCCAATCTTGGTAACCACCAGTTTGCAGGCCACATTCAGGCCATGATGTGTTTTCTTTGGCCTGCATCGGTGTTTGGGGAAATTGGAATTATTTACCAACTTTGCAAAGTCAGGAAATTTCACATTAAAAAATTTTAATATCCAGTCCTTGAGGAATAAGATGGGACATTACTGAACCTGCACGATCGTAGCATCGTCTGCTCTAGAAGGCCAGGAGCCTGTCTCCCTGCAGCCAGGCCGGCTTCACCTGCTTGGCACCAGAAAGCTCAGAAGCCAGCAGCCCCTGGGTGAGTGTGGCTGCTGAAAGCTGGCTTGGTCTTGTATTCTTCCTAGCTACCCACAAACAGGGCTTTTAAGTACAATTTCAAGATCCGTCTCCTAAAGTGAGGAACAATTAGCACATTCTTGAGTCACTCTTTTATTTATTTATACTTCTATTGGGAGCTCCAGAAGCTCATAGAAAAGTCACGATCTCAGTTCTTTGGGAAAACTGAGCTCTCACCCTTTGGGAGTTGGTGACCCAGCTTTGCCCCTGTCACTCACCTTCTTGAGAACTCAGTTTCCTCCCTTGTAAAAATCAGTCCCTGTGCTAGATGATCTATTTCTTTTGTCTGCTTCCATATTTATGTGATTATGACATGAAACTCAAGCACATGGGTAGAAATTTAACACAATCTTGTTTACTTAAGAGCTCCAAAGGCTTTAATAAGAGCAGAGCTCTTAAAACACCCCCACTGACCTTAACACAGGCCTTACCTCAGTGTAAACAGGACCTGAATAATAGCGTTGTTTATTGTTCTGCCTGCTTTGGGGTTGGGTCTTGAGCCTTGATGTTCTCTACTTATCATTTCTGGAGACCAGTGAATACCAGGGCACTCAAAGACCAACCAGTTCAATTTCCTATCTCTAGTAGACCCTGGTACTCTTCCTGCCTGACTCAGCCCTTATTTCAGCAAGAGCAAACTCAACCCCACCAACGACCCCTAGTGCTCTATCATAGAGACCTTCTTTCAGTTCCCTATCTACTGTGACCATAGAACCTTTGCAGCAGCAGGATCCATCATCTGCAGCTCTCCTGACCTGGTCAATTCCCACTACACGCATCTCTTCCATTGTTCCTGGCCTCCTTGTCCAGACCAAATCCCACTAACACGCTTTCATCACATCAGTTGTGCTATAGCAGCTGTCACAGTTGTGTGCCTACAATTTAGGTGTGTGAGTAGATGATCAATGGTTATTCCCCTAACTGAATGCAAATTCCAGGAGAGCAGGGCTCACGGCTGTCTTTGCTCCCGTTATTGCACCAGCACTTGGCCACTGGGGAGGTAATCAAATATTTTAGATAGCCTCCTAATTAAAAGGAAGAACAGCAATGCATCCCAAGCTTCAGGTTCTAACCACTGAACCATACTGCCTAATAAGGTGCCTAGCGGTTAATCATAGCACAATACACATCTACAGAATAAGTGATGGGTATGATCGCTCAGTGTCAACCCCCACATCACACTCTATACAGGGACAAATCTATGGACTCTCTGGATTAGAAGTCTAAACAGATAAAGGTCTCAGAACATAACAGCCATAAGATCAATATCATAGTTGACAGAAGTGATGAGAACCAAGGAGGAAAAAAAGACTCAAAAACTGGAGATAAAGATCCAAGCGAACTGGTCCCTCTGCATCAGCTTGGGTCCTGGAGGGCAGTGGCGCGGGTCTGGCCCGCACGTACCTGATGTTTTCATTCAGTGCATAGAGCTCATTGCTTTGCAAGCCGCCCCCTTTGAAAACGTTGATCACAGCAGTCTGGACACTGCAGGGAAACAGAAATAACTCCTGGTTAGACAGTCTGCCTGCCGGGGGCCATTTCCACAATCTTCTCAAGGCTGAAGGCACAAAGAAGGGCCGGGAAGCCCGTGGCACGATCTTGGCTGTGTACCCTTTCCCTGGAATCCATCATTTCCTCCCGGGGTCCCTGGAGAGGAAGGGAGGCTCAAGATGAAAGTACTCAAAAGGAGCCCCCACATTCTCACAGCCCAGCTAGAACTTCTTTCCTTGTTTCGCTGGCAGCCGTGAGGCCAGCAGCAGCATAAGTGGCCAGCAGCGAGGTCAGCTCCTGGAAGCTACAGGGCCAGCACACTGGCCTCAGGGGGCATCCAGAGATGCGTTTACCATGAGCCCAGGTGCGTTCAGCTAAGAGACCACCGTTCCTTCAGGGCAGCCTGGGTGGCCTGGGGCCCACAGGAAAGGATAATTCCTTGCCTTTCTTTTTAAATATTTTTGTACTTGAAACTTCAAGCTTTTATTTTCAAAACTCTTACCTAGAATATTTGCATGGTTACTTTTTTTTTTCTTTTCCTTTTTTAAATTAATAGGTTTCATGGTGGCAGATTCGACCGTGCACATAGCACCCCCCTCACCCACCTTGTCCCACCTCTCTCCACCCCCAACCTTCACATTTTGGAGGAGTTTGGGGTCCCTGGAGTATTTCTGGTTCATATCTTCCTGGTGATTTTTTTTAAAAGATTAATTTTATTGGTATACAAAATGATCGCCCTTGTGATTCTAATTGTACTTTCCTTGGGGAAACAGCCTCCCTGTCCCCTTCCTTCCCAGCCCCTCTGGGGGTATACAGGCAGCCTAGAGTTAGCCCCTCCTCAAGGGGCCTCAGTTGGGGTTCACTCCCCATTCTCAGGGAGCCCACCAAACATGATAGCACAAAGCTGATGCGCAAGATGTTTAGACACCTCCGAAAAGCTCTGTGTTTCCTCTCCTAAGTGCCTGTGGCTCCCAGGCACTGTTAACCTTTGGCTCATGCCACTCACGTAGTTCACAGGTGGGCAGAGGTGATCTGAGGTTACTTGCATGAGGCCACTCTCAGGTACTCAGACAGTCTGAGGCATGACTCAGGAGCATGAACAGTAACTGCAAATCCCAGCCCGGCTGGCCTGGGCTGGTTAACTGCCTGGGCAGCCAGAGCTCACAGCATTCTATGTCCCCCCACCATACTGATATGGAAAGCTGATGGATCGGCAGGATATCAGAAAACTTAAGATGGACGTGATGGGTAGCCCGTAATCCCTGTGTTTAGGAGCCTGGGGCAGAAGGATTGCAAATCAAGGTCAGCCTGGGCTAGACTTTATCTGAAGGAAGAAAGAAAGAAGAAGAGGGAGGGAGGCAGAGGAAAGAGAAAAAGCATCCTTGTCTCAGGATTTCCCAGAGCAGAGATCCCATGAGCAGCAGCAGTAGATCTGTCAGCCCCAAGATGTCCCCTGGCCCTGCCCAGCCCCGGCAGCTCTCTAGCCCACCCCCAGCTCCTCACCTGTTCCAGGCCGAGTTGGAGCTCAACTGTAGAGCCTGCCGGGCAGCTTGGAACCGGGGCAGGTCGCTGAGCACGGGGGAGCTCATGAAGCGCGGTCTCGGCCTCCGGAAGGAGCCCATGGTGTGGAACTCAGTGAGCAGGGTAGGAGCGAGGCCACGGGTCATAAGTCCAGACAAGGGTTCGGCTTTGTCTTTATAGGACCGGAAGTTTCCAGCTGCCCACACACAGGAAAGGCTTTCCTCAGGGCTGTCTCCTGGCCCTTGGGAGTTGTGAAAACCACACTCTTAGGCAACACCTGAAGAGAGAGGGCAGACTTTACTGAGAACTCCTAGGCTGGGCAGACCGTGACTCCAGGGAAGCTAGCTGGGGCTCTGAATCCAAACCATCATGAAACAAGAGCCCAGAACACTGCGGTTACCACAGAGTGAGGAGCAGGTGACATCCAGTCCCCCAGAACAGCAGCCCCTGAGCTGTGCTTGCCTCTCTGCTCCCCAAGCACCTTTGGTCACTGCCAGAAGTTTCTGTAGACTGCACAGTGTTGTGGATTAAGAGACGGCTTTGCAGACAATGCTAAGGAGAACGCAGGAGCCGCTGTCCTGGCACGGATGCGTCCCACCAGTCCACAGTCCATATGTATTGCTCAGTATTTCCCAAAGTACCAAGGCAGGAGATTAGGGCTTAGCCAGCTAGCTGGGGAAGTAGGAGTGACCTAATTACAAAGTCCTAGGACACAGGCAGAACAGTTCCCAAAGCCCGTATGTGTACTGCTCAAGAGAATTCCAGTGGTTTTGGAGGGTACAGCCTAGACCTGAGGCCTAGACCTGATAGCCTGCGTGGGATATACAGAAAGACAGGCACCACTGGGCTCTCCGCTACCCTTTCTCTCTCCCACAGGATTCCCTTTCACCCCAAAATGGACTTCTTTTCCTTTTACTTGGCCCAGACTCACTGTGCAGACCACAGTTCTCTTCCTACCTTTAATAAATGTATAATCGCATTACTTCCTGTGTTTATCTCTACCAATTCTTTGTTTACGACAGAAAAAAACTTAGAAACCACCTCTAGAAGGAGACTCCAGCATCCCAAAACCTGATAATAGTCTAGTACTTTCTCAGGTGCATCTCACCACTCTGCATCTGCTGTCATTGACTAGGAACTGAACCTGACAGCCTTCACCCTGAGATCCATTCCCAGTTCATTCATTCATTCAGTGTTGAGATATTTCTCACAACTCACTAAATTGCCCATCCTGGCCTCAAATTTGAGATCCTCCTGCCTCAGTCTCCCACTGTGCAGCAGGAACAGGTATGTGCTACCACACTCACCTGTAGTTGAACATTCATTCACCTCTATAAAATGCAGGCCAGCTGAAGATTTTTAATACCTAATCCCTGCCCTCCAGAGAGTCGCAGTTTGCAGGAAAAGTAATGATTTGTGTGTTCATTCATGCAACAAATACTTCCTGAGCACTTACACATAGCAGACACTGGGAGATGTAATGGAGACCCTGGGACCCCGTGCCTGGTCCATGGACCTTACGAGCTGCAGACACTGCTCATGGTTACTCAGGTCCATCGGTGCTTTCCCACACTTTTGCTCTGATTCCCTTGTCCACAATTCTCTTCCTTTGCCTCTCTGCTTATCTAAACCTATATCAGCCTCCAGAGTCAGGGTCACACATACATCACTGTTCCCATGTAGCAGGTCATAAGATTTTATGGCTTCGCAGATAAAGGTGTTGGCTTTGCAATGAATCTGGGCTCAAGTCTAAACCTGGCCACTCCAACTTGAGTTACTTTGAACACACTGAGTCTAAAGTCCCTAGGTGCTAACCAAGTCACAAACCAGGGAGAGACACCTGAGATCATGTGACACATCCAACAGAGTGGCACACCCACGTGCCTCAGGGCAGGGCTGTGTCTCTCCAGAACATCTCCTCCTTGCCCGGCACCCTTGGCTCTATAATTTCAGTCTCTTATTGTTCAGTGAATCCAAAGTTTAAAAGTGAATGACTTCAAATGAGTCCGGACCTCACCAATGTGAAGGACAGCAGGAAACACCCCCATTTGACCTGTAGCCACTGTTTTCTTTAGGGATTCATAGATTTTTGCCCAGACATATTCTCACTGCCAGCTCTTTCACCAGCTGTCTCCACTATATCCCCGAAATCACTGACAAAAAAGAGCTTCCGGCCACAAGTGTTAACCTTCAGGATGGCAGGGAAGAAAGGATAATACTCCAGCTGTTTGAAGGACAGCAGAGATGCCACCTCAGATTAGACACACCACCATGGTCAGAAGAGAAGTGAGATGGGTGAGGACACACCAAGACACCCACCAGGGGGCATCCACAAAGGAGGCGCTCAGAGCCATCCCTAGGGGCAATGGGCACCGTGACAATGGCTTATCACACTGACAGCCACAAAAGGAGTGGCTTGTCCCATCACTTAAGTTTTTCATAAAGGAAAGTGGATCTAGATACCATTTTCTCATATAGCCGTTGCCCCATGATCAGGCTGAATGAGTGGTTATTAAATTTACCAGTCAAGGCTGGGGAAATTATCCTAGGCCTGGTAAGCTTCAGAGAGAGTCTGTCTCGGTCACTGTCACTTCCTAGGTGCCGTGGAATTTAGATAGAGCTACACAAGCCAGTGAATGAGGTGAAGAAGAAATAAGAGCCAGATTTCCCTGCAGCTCCCTCACTCTGGCTGGAATGGGGTGTCACTTGCCAGGGACGGTCCTTGTGTTAAGGCTGGGTCCATTTCACTGCCCTTCTATAAATGGGCCTAGGAAGCACAGCTCTGCTGTGTCATTCCAGGATATTAACTGCTTTTATGAGGATCTTAAACTTAGGGTAGTGGCACTGCCTCCCACCCCACAGCGTTTAGGCAGGGAAGGAAAGGAAACAGAAGAGAGGACTGTTCATCCTCACCGTCCTGCCCAAACAGGCTGTAGGACTCAGGGCTCCTGTCCACTCCATGGCTCAGCCAGCACTCTCGGGCCTCAGGATCCGGGCCATCTCAGTGTCCAGCAAAGCACACGGCCTCCCCGTCCACATCGCAGCTGCTCTCAAGCAAGGCTCATGTGCCGCCAGAAGATGCAGACCGCAGCTGCCAGGCCCAGTGTCCAGTCACACTCCCAGCAAGGAGCTTCCTCTGACTCATTTTTCCATCCCCGAAACTCTGCCCCTCTCAGATCCTGCCAGGTTGTCCCCACGGTTCCTGCTTGGGAACACAGCCAAGAGGCTGCCCCAGAGCACCATGGGAGGAAGCCACAGGAGGCTGGCAAGAGGGGCCCACAGGGAAAGGCTGGCCCTCCCTGCATCTCCCTGCTACACAGCTGGCCCTTTGGGCAGCGGCTTGGCCTGACCGAAATGGGACAAATCAGAGATGCCAAGGCAGATGATGTCTTGTGCAAGATGTCCAGAGAGGGAGAAGGTCACCACTGGCTGGGACTCAGGTTCCCTGATGCCTGATCGAGAAAACCCTCCAGCTGCACGAGGCCCTTCTGTTTATCTCTGGGCTCAGTTCTAGGCTCTCTGCTTGAGACAAAGGTGAAGGAAAAGATGAGAATTACTAAGGCATCACTGGGAGAGCACAGAAGCCAGGAGACATGCTCCAGGTCACACAGCTAGTAACTGGTAAGTCATAAACAGGCTGGTGCCAAGATCAGCCTAATTCCCCAAACCTTTCCTCACTGCGCTATGCTATCAAACTCAACCGTAAAGGAAATCACCACTTACAAGTCAGTCAGGAGGATCCATCTTGAGACTTCATATTGAATCTAAACCTCATGTCCCTGAGGTAAACAATCCTCTCAAAAAATCCTCGTGTCCTATTTCATGGGGACAGGAGGACAGCGAGAAAGCACTCAAAATGACTGCCTTGGTGAGACAACCACCCCTTACTAGCCATGTGCTCTTGGGCGGGTGATTTGACCTCTGAGGCTTGATTTTCTTCCCCATGAGAGTAGCTTTGATGACCTCAGGGTTGCAAGACAACCTGGGACAGTACCTGGCAAACAGCAAGTGCTGCTTAAGCACCAGCTAAATAAATAAAACAACACTGTTGTTTCTAAACCACCAAGCATGGTCACACTGGGGAAATAGCAACCCTTCCCTCTGCTTCTGGGGACCTCACAGCATCTGAAAAGCCTAGATCAGGAGCAGGCAAGGCTTCCAGGGCCTGCAGTGGCACATCCTCAGGTCTTGTCTTCTCCAGACTCTGATAACTCTTGACTTATTTACTGACCTCTTTTGTCTGTGCAGTGTGTTCCCCAGTTCCACACACCATGTGCTTCTAAATCAAACCCCAACTTTATCAGGTAGGCAAAGCTGGACCCAGTCATGAATGAGGAAACTCAGGCCCCAAGAGCAGAGTCGAGGTGATTTCACTGAAGCTGAGAGCTGAAATCAGGCGCCCAGACCTAGAGGGCCAGGCTGCAGCTATAAGCCCAGCTATGGGAGCCTTTTGTATTTTTTTTTCCTTGTTGTATATTTCAAGATATTTTCATTATGAAGAATACTTGAAGAGTACATAGATTCATATTTTAAATAATAGTAATAAACTACTACCACCTTAAAGAACAGAATGCCACCTCAGAAACCCTGTGGGTTCCTACCTTTTGGATAATAGCATACACTCTTATTTACTACTTTTACAAACTGCAAGCTTAATATATGGTGATGCACACTTACAATCCCAGAATTCTAGAAGGCTGAGGCAGCAGGACTGCAACTTTTAGACCAACTTGGGCAATTTAGTGATTTATCACTAAATCTTATCTCAGAATTAAAAAAAAAAAAAAGTTTAAAGATTAACAACTGTGAAAGTCCTGGGATAAATCCCCAATACCATAAAAAAGAAAAAACAATTTACCTAAATCTGTAACACAAAACAAAAGCGTCCCTTCTGGTCACTTAGCAGTGCAGGGACACCGGATCAAGACCTTTCTGAGATGACAAGAATGTTCTGTATCTCTGCCACCCAGGGCCATAGCCACTATCTCCATATGGCTGCCAAACACATGGCATGTGGCTAGTGCAACTGTAGAACTGAATTTAATTTTATTTTTTAATAACCACGCACAAGACCATATAATATTTCAGAAAGAATGAGTCACTTTTTCTTTCCTGTTAATAACACATCCTACCTCTCTTCCCCTGTCACTTTGCATGGGTCTACTTTATTATTCGGGATGGCAGCTTAGGTGATATCACACTTATTTATCCAGTCTCCTGTGGGTTGATATTCATTCAGTAAGCTTCTGGCTGTTTGTTACTGCAAAGTGACTCTCAGGGACCATGTGACAGATTTTGCAGGGTGTGTCTCAAAGGTGGAACTGCTGTGTCAAAGGGCCCAGCAGCTCTGAGCTGTTCACCCTGGGACTCCAGCTCCAGCCTGAGCTGCAGCCAGAAACAGCACAGCAAGAAGGGCACTGAGAGGCACAGTGGACAAGGCTGTCACTCAAGGCTTTGGAGACAGAGCAGATCAGACATCAAGGCTCACTCTGCCATTCACTTACTGTGGTCAGCAGGAAAAAAAAATACTTGCACTTCTTAATCTCAGAACTGTGAATACCATGTGAAGTGGGACAAGATACAGTGAAGTGCACATCTTAAGGAAAGATGCTTATCCTGGATTGTCCAGTGGGCCCACAGAGGCAATTGCTGCCCCTTCTCAAACGGGATGCAGAGGAGCTTAGAGACAGAGAGAACGAGACATTTAGGAGAAGGTGATGTGAAGACAGAAATGAGAGTGCTGCAACCACAAGCCAAGGAATGCCAGCAGCCATCAGAAGAGGAAAGAAAGAGTTCCCCAGCATTTCCAAAAGGACCACAGCCCTGAAACTCCTTGGTGGTAGCCTTTGGGTCTCTGGAACTATGAAAGAATCAATTTCTGTTATTGTAAACCACAAAGGTCATGGTAACTTGGGAAAGCAACCACCACAAACGAATATACTCAGTGCCTGGCTGTGGACCACTCTGAACTGCAGTTTCTGTATCTGAAAAGTTCACAGGGAGTGCTGTTGGAACAACCAGAAAGATTGGCTTTAAGGTGCTGGCAAGGTCCCTGGAACTCTCCAGGTTGCCACACCAGGGACAATAAAGGTCAGGACAAAAACACCAGAGCCGGTCTGGTGTCACTACTGGACAGGTGACTAAGGATGGACCCAAGGGTTGAATGAGGTGATTCAGATGCCTCCTATTGTTCATATGCATCACTGCCAACACTGCCACCATGGAATTCCTCTGTGGGGGCCAGTGTAACAAAATGCCACAAACTGGGTGGCTCACACCACAGAAATGGATTTTCTTGCAGTTCTCAAGGCTGAAAAGCCAAGGTCAAGGTATCAATAGGGTTGCTGTTTTCTGTTGCCTCTCTCCTTGGTTTACAGATGGCCATCTTCTCCCTGTGTCACCCTCTAGGCACTCACAGCCTTGGTGTCCCTGCACAGGGCCTCTTATTATGAAGACACCAGTCGGATTGGAGTGCCGTCCACCCTAATGACCTCGTTTTCCCTTAGTCACCTCTTTAAAGGCTTCATCTTCAAACACTATCACCTTCTAAGGTACAAGGGTGAAGCCTTCAAGACATTAATGTTTTTGGGGGGGACATAATTCAGCCCATAAGCACCACCACCACCACCGCCATCATCATGATCATCAGAAAAAGTCCTAGGCCTTTTATCTCTGAGTTAAAGAAATGACAGTGTTGGCCAATATTGCTCTTTTGAAAGACCAGGGCCACTCACACCATCCTTCAAGAGTGATTTCAATGACTAAGTTTTTGGAGCAGAAAGGTTTGCTTTGCTTCCTTAGACAGCCATGGTCCTGAGTCCACAAAGCATGCTGGGAAGTCACAGGGTCCCTGAGTCACCTCTCTGCCTGGCTGTTGAGATTCACCTCACATGGGTTTCTTTGAAACCTCCACACCCAGATCCAGGATGTGCTTCTCAGAGAAAAAAACAACATGTTGTCTCGCTTTCTCCTCACAAGCTACCTGAGACAGGGCCCGAGGACCAGGGCACAGCTCCGTCTGGTAGGTCCAGGGCAGAAGACAGAGCATGTAGTGGAAAATGCAAATGAATTCCACTAAGGTGCAGGCCTTTGACTCCGAAAAGGGAAGTAGAACGATGGCACAACAGGTTAAAATAAAGATGTGGTTGACTTCTAATGACTGAGGCTTCCAGGAAAAACCATTCTGAGAGTAAATAATCAAGTCAAAGAACACGGAGCCACATGGCCTGGTGTGACCTCCTGGAACAGAAGGAGAAGCCAGGTGCCCGAGGAGTGAGGGGATGGTCCACTTTTACATACCCTGCTGGTGCACCTGCAGGCAGAGTCCAGCACGGAGCACCTTCCCACGCCTGGGCACGGGAGTGAAGAGCAGGGTCCTTCCACACCATCAGGATGCAGACATCAACTGGTCACTTAACTCAACTGGCCCATCGTCCATCTCACTGCAACCAAAGTGAGTTTCCAGTGCCCACGGCAACGACGAGAAAGACACTGCTTACTGAGCTCCAGGGGGGCAGCAGACACTTGCCATGTATCACCTCAGTGTTTTCAAAAGGACTCAGACGCGGTGACCTGTAATGAAACAGAATGGAAAATAGCAGCGTGCACCGCATTTGGGGGAGACGCGTTTATGAGCTGTGCGTTCAAGTTTACTAGGTGAAAAATTGTATTTCATACAGCTTCATGATACTGCCTGTGTCTGAGCCTCACCACCACCAGGAGCTGGGCACTGTTACTGTTCCTCAAGTGATTAATTTGTCTAAAGTCTCACAACTTTGTGAGATAGGATGCTAGAATAAGAACCCAGCAATCCAAGGCTCACAACATTCATGTCACTCTGTCACTTCGACGGTTTCAAGGATGCCCTGCCACACTTAGACTAAACCTCCAAGCTCCATCCTCACTCCCTCACCTCTCTCCTTCATCGGCCATTATTTCTTCCACCATTACCTACTTTTCCTTGCCTCAGGACCTTTACACATGCTATGCTCTCTGCATAAAGTATTTTTCATCTCATTCTCCAGGCCCAAACCCACGTCTCCTTTATCATCCATCTTTCACTCGCCCATGGGAGTCCTCCTTTTCTCTTCATCTCTTGATGGTTCCTATCACCTAGTGAATACCTCCCTACCTCCCAATAGTCATCACAGACTACTTCAACAAACAACTGCCAAATGATTTGTTGTAAATCTTGCAAGGCCCATAAGGGCAGGCATCCCATCTCTGCTGTTTCAGGGACAGTCCTGGGCCTCACTGTAGTACTCAGGGTAGCAAGTGTGCCACAGGTATCTGCTGAAGGAGGGAATGAGCCAGCCTTTGCTGGGATACTCAGGAATCCACACAAGTGGCAGCTCAGAATAGCAATGCCAGAAGACCCACACAGCGTCTGCACCTGTGAACATCATGGTGTTAAAATGTGACCAACTCTGGATCAAATCGTACCTCTACAATTCACTAACTGGGCACCTGGGCAATTTACTCACAGGCTCTAAATTTTCCTTTCCTTTCCTTGCCTGCCAAATGAGTGTAATGGTTATCTCAGTGCTAAAATGGTTATCTCAGGGATAAAAACAGGATAACTTAGAACAAGGCAAGACTCAGAAAAGAAACCTAAAAAGTTGCACTATGTTCTTCATAAAGCCCTCTCTGGCTCCAAAAACTGGCATGCGACCAGGTGAAAGGGACATGGGCACTTGTACACACTGCTGGAGAGAGAGCGGAGTAGGGTGAATGTCACAGAGAGAACTGGACCAAAATGGAGTTACCCAGAGGACAAAGGTCATCCCTTCTGACCAAGGGATTCTACTTCTAGGAATTTTACTCCAGCATGTCAAGTGATTTGTGGAAGTAAGATTTTTATTCCAGCCTTCTTTACACAAGCTGTGGGTTGGAAATAACCCAAACCTTCCCCAGCAGAGGGCTAGTGCCTCATGAGAGCCTACAAGTGGGAACACTATGCAGCTCTAAAGCACAAGAATGCTCTTATGCACCACCCAGGGTGCTTTCCAGGGGATGCACTGAGCAAAGAGTTGTGCAAATTGTATGTTTCCATCTGCAGAAAATGGATAAATTTCAACCTTTGCATATTTCACTGCATGCACATAAAGCATCTTTAGAAAGACAAACCACATATCGGTACCATGGGTTTTCCCTAAGCCAGAAGAGGGTAGAAGGGATAGGATTGCCATGACTTCTCTGCAAGCCTTTTTGTACTTTCTGAATAATGAAATGTAAAGCATGCACTGCTTAAATTTATATAAAAACCACAGTGGCTCTTCTCTCACCTTCTCCTTCTTAAAAAAAAGAAAGAAACAGATGATATGATTTGTTCAGAGTCACTCAGAACTCAGGAGGTGGTCAGGATTTGAACTTGGTTTCTGATCTCAAGTCAGTATTATCAATTACACTTCATTTATTCGTTTAGTGCAAATTTATGTATTCAACACTGACTCCACAACGGAGGCTGTCTTGTGTTGTGATACGCAGGCCAGAAAATAAACACTGGCAGGAAAGTAAAAGAAAGAATCAATGTCTTTCCCTTTTTTTAAATTTATATTTTATTTTATGCTTCTATTTTATTTTAATTTATGCTTTTATTTTATTTTATTATTATAACATACATCACAAGCAGGCCAAATAGGCTGGGTTTGACCAGCATAGCAGGTAAGCAGCTGAAGCTTGCCTTACTAGGCAATACACACTCAGGCTCAAGGAAACAGCTGCTACTGGACTCAATCTGGCTTTTTTGACATCTCAGGAAAAGTGCTATAGATCTGATTTTTCCCAGTGAAAAACCTAAGCCCAGATTTTTCAAAATCCCTCCAATCACCTAATGTGTATGTGTTACAATTAATGCACTGACCCGACTGGCAGGCTTGTGACCACTGGTTTATTTGTTGAAGCTAAGGCTCCCCAGCCTCTCAGACCTTTTACCCAGAGCCTATGCTAGGTGTCACATCAGCTCGTCCTTACCAGCCGCTGCGGTCCTGGGTGAGTCACTTCACTGCCCAGGTCTGTTGACTTATCAGTTTGGCCAGGATCATCTGCAGCGACACCAGCTAAACTTGAAAACCCTACCCTGGGAGCTGCACACACTGGGCTCCTCTGATATAGGGTGGGGCTCAGACACTAAAGGGGTGCAAACCCAGGGCCAGCCCTCCGCCCTTGCTGTAACTCCCACCTACGCCATCTACCTGACTTACCCCTAACAAAAAGCTCCCTGACCTCTATCACCCTCGCCCTATCATTGATCTCTCTGTGGGATGACCAGCCCCTTGTATTATATGTGTCCCCAGATTCACTCTTCAAAGAGTCAGAGGAAACCAGCAGCACCCAAGGGAGCGCCAACAGAAATATACGCCACGCTAGTACACCAGTGGTGCAGATCTGGATTCCACCCCTGCCACCAGCCCACTGTGTAGAAACCAAGTCAGATATAGGATTCCCAGAGGGATAGGACTACTTCTATAAATCCATTGCTTAGCATGGCTAATGAGAAACATACTAACTGTCACCAGAGGCTGGTCATAACGGACAGGCCTCTGTGCCAGGCCTTGGTCGACATTTACTGCCTTAATTAATTTCCATGGCAAACCAATGAAGTGGGTTTCATTATTCCCATTTCGCAGATGAAGAAATCTAAGCATAAGGATTTGTTTGCCCCAAAGCATGAAGCTAGAAAGAAGAAGAGCAAAGGCTCCAATGCTGCCTGACTCCAAGCCTCAGCTCCAGGCCCCCAGCTTCAGACAGCGCTTGTGTCTGCCAAGCTGGGAACCAGGAGCCTGCACACTGCCCTTCATGAGCATCAACAGCTTCTTACCTCACAAGGGCAACCCATCGCCCTCCACAGAAAGCAAATTTTTCTTTTTTTTTTTTTTTTTTTTTTTTCCAGTAATGTGGATTGAGCCTAGCTCTTCATGCTGACCCATACCTCAGCCTATTTTATTTTTGTTTTAGGGCACACTCAAGACTTTACTTGTGCAAGCTGAAGTCATCGAGCTTGTTTACTTGGTCAGTCTCTGACAGGCTGGGAGAATAGCAGTGCCTTAGAGGCAAAAGCCCTGCTGTACTTTCTCACCACGGTATCCTAGGCTGGGCATATAGAAAGCACAAAAAGAATAAATAGATGATATGTATATATTAAACATGGGGATTGAACTGGAATCTAGATCTTCATGTTCTCCACCACGAAGCTGCATCCTCAGATCAATATTTACAAATAATGGTATGAAAAGTGGTATCCAAGTTTGTAAGAACAAGTTTCTCACTTCTGAGAGATCAGAAACTTTCTATTCACTACTGTCAGAATGAGGGTCTACCTAAACATTACCCTGAGTATGAACCTGGGTGCCAGGCAAAGGATCCTGGCTCTGTCGACTGGTGGTGGAATCTTGAAGCACAGCGGAACAGTGGTGCAACCTGCATAGCAGAACAGTTTATTTGGATTAAGGGCCAACCTTCACAGCTCTTAAAAAACAAAAGGCAGCCAGGGGACACACACTGACTGGTACAAAGGAAAAAATGTTAGGGGTCAAGTTTGGACCACGGAAAAGGCTCAGCAGGAAGCAGGAGACAACTTCCTCAGAGCTGCCCTGGAAACCGAACACAGATAGAAGGGTCTGGGCATCCAAATTTGGGCAACAGTAAATATCAGCGCAAACAGGATGCAAGTTCAAGGGTTTATCTCTGCTCAACAGTGTTCACTATATGTCCGCAAGACACCGACAATTTAGTTCCACCTAGGAGCAATTATATCATCACATCACAACTTGCGCCTGCAAACCACTGTGTAATCATCAGAAAAATCCCCTTCTTTGGCACAAGTGAAGCCAAATTGTGGGAAATACCGCACACCTTATTTACTCATTGCTAATCCACTTTAAATATCAAGTTCCTTGGAGCACAGATTGTTCAGGTGTGGCCCGTAAATGCCATCCAAAGTGATTCTGCAGTGCCAACCCAATGATAAGCCAGAAAGTCTAGACACACGCAGTAGCTGAGACTGACCATTACAGGAGCAATTATACCTCTGACGCGTAACATATTTAAACCCTGCAGGATGAGACAGCGGTTGAAAGCCAATAAGAGCTTCAAAGGTGGGAATATATGCTCTCGGTTAAAATGTGCTATTTGCTAAAAAATTAGCTCCCCTCTCGCATTGAAGGATAAGATGAAATGCTTTTTCACAGGCAAAGGAGGAAAGGAAGTGTAGGTAGTGTAACCACAGATAAAATAAGTTGAATAGAGCATTCCAACCTGGTCATTTCATGAAGGGCATGAGTCCAATTCAAGTTCATTTAACTCAACCAAACACTTGGAAGTCTGATGGGTGCCAAGATCTGTGTGGAGGAAGCCACAAGGACAAAGAAAAATAAAGTATCTGCTCCCAGACTGCTTAGGCTGTAGCTGGAAAGAGCTAAAAGAATATTATAAATGCAGCTCCACACTGAACGCTGTAACTAAAGACTGAGGCACATTCTAAAACTACAAGGCAGCACTGATGAAAGGTCAACCTGAAAATGTGGGTTCCCCGTCTCCTTGCTCACCACTCTAAAGAACATGGGCATGGAGGA